CGCAGGAGAGGAAGGCCCTCTATGAGGTGGATTGATTCAGTGACTGGGATAATTGGGATGGGAGTGTCAGAGACAGTGCGATTGGCACAAGACAGAGCGGAGTTTAGGACTGTTGTACATAGGGTCGCTATGAGTCGCAGGCTACTTGATGGCACATAACAACAACAACAACATAGGACATTAAAAGGCATATTGCCATGGGAAAGTCTGCTGTTAGGGACCTCTCCAAAGTACTGAAGAGCAATGGTGGCTCTGTGGAGACTAAAGTGCATCTGATACAGGCCGTGGTCTTTGCTATCACTTGCTATGTATCAGAGAGTGGAACAACGACTAAGGAGGATAGAAGGAGAATTGATGCCTTTGAGCTGTGGTGCTGGAGAAGAATATTGAGGGTATCATGGACAGCTAGGAAAACAAATAGATTCATCCTGGAAAGGGTTAAACCGGGCTGCTACCTGGAAGCAAGAATTCTGAGGCTCCATCTAACATACTTTGGACATGTTGTAAGGAGGTACCGGTCCTTGGAGAGGGACATGATGCTTGGTAGGGTGGACGGACAGCACAGGAGGGGAAGGCCCTTTATGAGGTGGGTTGATTCAGTGACTGGGTTAATCAGGATGAGAGTGGCAGAGACAGTGCGACTGGCACAGGACAGAGCAGAATTTAGGTCTGTTGTACATAGGATCGCTATGAGTTGCAAGTGACTCAACAGCACATAACAACAACATAAAAATTCAAAATTTAATTTACTGAGCATGTTCTTGTTGTTAAGTACTTTCGAGTTGTAGATTACTCATAGTGACCCTATGAACGAAAGACCTGAATGCTTGTATAACTTTCATCATTTCTCTAAGTTCATAGAGTTTCCAGAGGCAAGCTCTTTTGGAAGTGGATGCCATTCCTGCTTCCAAGCCTGTTTTAATCTGGGATTTCCGCCAAACACTGTCCACCATGGATAACCATTATCAAATTTGGCATATCACAAGAACCACAGGTTACCTCTATATGGAAAATTGACAGACCAGTGTTGTATGGCAAATAGACAGACCAGTGCTATAGCACTAAGAAGAATGTTTAACTAAAAACAATTAAAACCAGGCCTGAGGGCTGCAGATTAAAAACACCCACCTTTGGCTTTGTAGCATAACTTTCCATGCTCTAGGCCAACAGAGCTCTCTCTATGACTCACAGCAATTCAATGAATAACAGATCTAACCCATGCCCTAGCCTACCTCATCCTCATAATCAAGACATGCTCAAACTCATTGTTTCAACCACCATATCAATACATTATGTTGAGGGTCTTCTTTTACTCTCTGACCTTCCACTTACTGAGCATAATGACATAATCTCAACCTAGGAACAATAATGAAGTAAAACAGGACAGCAAACCATCACTGCTGGTGGGAATGTAAAATGATATAACCACTCTGGAAAGTGGTCTGAAGCTTTCTCAAAAAGTCAGAAATAGGAACACAATTTGGCCCAGCTATCCCTACTGAGATTATACACTAAAGAAACCAGAACTGTGAAACAAACATATGTATACACTGTCATGGTTATTTTTGTGTTATTCATAATAACAAAGAGAGTGGAGGGAGCATATCAACCAATATTCAAAACACAAAGAGGAACAATTGCAAACAGACATTAGTGATTACAATGTGGAATGTGAAAACTGTGAATATAGGAAAATTGGCCATTATTATAGAAAAAATGAGATACATAAACATTAATATACTAGGCATTGGTAAAGGAGATCTGATGGTCTAGTGGCAAGAAGCTATTCTGCAGTCCTGAGGACATGCTGCTCGAGGACACCAGCTCTGTGGAAGAAAGATGGGTACTCTCCTCCCATGGATTATCTGCCTCTGAAAACTCTCTGGAGGGTCAGCTGTGAGTGGGTTCTGACTCTATGGTAAACAGTAACAACAGACATTGATGAGCTGAGATGGTTGGGCATGAGTCATTTTGAATCAAACAATCATATGATCTATTAGGTCAAAAGCGAAAAGGTAAGGAAAAGTGGAGTCTCTTTCATAGACAAAAAGATGATTTCTTAGGTCCATCCTGAAATACACATACCAACAACCAGAGCTAAAGAGAAGGAAATAGAAGATTTCTCCCAGGTTTTGTAGTAGAAATAGATTGAACATACAACCAAGGTTCATTAATAATAATTGATGACTGGAATGCAAAATGAGAACAAAGAAGAAAGATCAGTAGTCTGAAAATAACAACTTGATGACAGAAATAAGGTTAGAGATAGAATAATAGAATTGTCTGTATTTAATGACTTGTTCATTACAAATACAGCAAAACAAAACAAAACCCCTATAAAACAACAACAAGCAAAAACCACAACAGAAACAAATAGTGACTTTACACATGGATGTCACCTGA